AGCTTGATGGCCTGCAGCCGCACCACAACCCCCTCCTGACCCTCCTTGCTGCCCCCTCCCTCCTCCTGCTGCTGCGCCGCCGCGGCCGCGCTGCCCTGGTGCCTGCCGCCCCGGCCGCCGCTGGTGTCGCCGCCGCCGCTGGCGCTGGCGCCGCTGCCCGGCTGGTAGCCGTTGGCTCGCAGCGCCTCCATGAGCTCCGCATCTGTGGGGATGCAGGCCAGGCGGCAGGCAGGCAGCACGCTGCTGCCGCCGCCGCCGCCACCCGGCCCGGCCCCGGCCGCTGCCGCCGCCGCCGCTACTTGCCCCGGTAGCCCGTAGTGAGCATCCAACATGAGGCAGTCGCCTGCCTCCTCACCCTCCGCCTCCGCATCCGCCTCCCCGCTGCCCTGGGAGCCTCCCGCGCCGCCGCCGCCGCCGCCCGCGCCGCACCCCATCAGCGCCATCAGCGTCACAAACGCCGCCCCCGCCGTCTCAGCATCGGCGCTCTGCACGGCAGCCAGGCAGGCAGCCAGGCAGGGTAGGGGTGGCCGCCCGGCGGGAGAGAAGATCGTCCTACTGCCGCAGCCTGCCCCTGCCCTGCCCTGCACACCCGCCCTGCCTTTCCGTTCACCAAAGCACACAGACCAGCTCGCGAGCGGCGGCTGCACGCATCCCCCCGCACACCCGCACATGCATCCCCGCACCCACCAACAAACCCACCCACACACCCGCGTCATGGTAGCCAGCAGCGCCTGCACCAGCGGCCGGCCCGCCTCGCCGCGGCTCAGCGCCAGGCTGCGCACAAAGCCGGAGCGCAGCCCGGCCAGGAACATCTCTTGCAGCACCTGCGGTGGGCGGCAGAGGGTGCGGGCGTGTGTGTGGGGGGATGGGTGCGTGTGGCCGGCGCTGCCAGGGGCAGGGTCGATAGGGCGTCAAAGGGAGGGAGGGCTGAGGGAGGCGGCCAGGGGGGTCAGGCGTGCAGGCTGGTGGGCGCAGCCAACCCGCTCCTGCAGGCTCCTGCAGGCGGCCGCGCCGCAGGCGCCGCAGGCGCCCCAGGCGGCGCACCCGCTCCTCTGCCTCGTCTGCCGCCGCCGCCTCCAGGCCCAGGTCCAGCCCCAGCTGCGCCTGCGCCCCCTGCATCGCCTCCAGGTACCCGCCATCCAGCTCGATGCAGGCAGGCTCCTGCACCAGGCAGGCAGGCAGGCGAGAAGGCGGGCAGGCAGGCAAGGATGGCGGAGCGGGCGTGGCGGGAGGGAGGCCGTCGGGAGGCGAGGCGGCGGTGCGACCCTGGCACGCCGCAAACACGGCAGCTCGGCAGCACGGTGCGCTGCCAGGAAGCCGTCTGTCCGACCACGCGGCATGCGAGCGCGCCGCTTGTGCCAGCCCGGGCCTGCCAGCAAGCGCCCGCCAGCCCCTGGCCCAGCACCCAGCGCCCACCTGCGGCGGCGGCAGGGCCACCAGCACCGCCTCGTGCTCCCGGAGCTCCTCCAGGTTAACCCCCAGGGTCAGCTTCTCACGCAGCTGCTGCATCGCGGCCGCAGCCGTCTCCGCCGCCGCCTCCTCCTCTGCAGGCAGCGGGCAGGATGGGCAAAATGGGAGGGTGCAAGTCACGGGGTGGTGGTGGGGGGGGGGGGGGAGCGGAGCAGGCACAGATGGCGCTGCATGATGATGCAAGATGAGCGGCAGCACCACCTGAGCTGCCTGGCTGGCTGCACCTCACCCCCACCTGCTTGCTCCTGCGCCTCGCGCTGCACCCGCACCACAGCGGCCGCCCGCGCCTGCTCCGCCTTCTGCCGCGCCTGGTGCTTGGCCAGAAGCGTCTTTTGCAGCCGCCGGTTGGCCTCAAAGCTGAGAGGGGCAGGGGCAGCGGCCGAGAGAGTTTGCAAGTGGCGAGCGGCGGCCGCGACTTGCAGGCGGCCACCGGAGCTCTGCCTAGGGCAGAAGATCCCTTGTACCCATAGCCATTCTTCCCAGCCACCCTGCTCACTCTGGCAGCGAGTCGAGCAGGAGCTTCAGGTCGTCATCGCCACCCACGCCGCACGGCAGGTTGCCGGCGGCGCTGCCCGCCATGTTGTTGCGGGGTGCAAGCACAGTCGGTGCAGCCCTGCCGCTTCCAGGGAGCTCTAGCAGGGAGTCCAGGCTGCGTGGCGGAGCAGAAGGCAGGGAGTTGGGGCAAGGGTGGTGAGGGGAGTTCCGAAGCCTTGCAAATGCGGCGGCAGCCTTTGCGGTGACTTGTGCCGATCGCTCACCCGAGCATCCAGGCTGCGTGCAGGCGCCCAGGAGAGGGCCAAGGTTGAACGCGGGGGGAGGTCGCCCGGCAGCCGTTCAGCCCACCTAGCACGATATCTCTGAGTGCCCAGAGTGCACTGCTTCGTAAAGGTTGCAATAGGGGCGCTCCAGCCCTGCTGCCTGCTGCGCCCGTGCTGTGGTGCTCAATCAAAATTGCGCCTCTTGCAGGCATCCCCACCAATGCCCGCCACTCCACGGTCGAGCCTGAATCATATCCAGCCCGAATGAAGCGCTCGGGGAGCCGGTCCCTCGATGACTGGGCCACAGTGAAGCGCCATGCCCCCGACGCCGGCTTGAAGCAGCCTGCCGGGTGAGACAGCGCGCAGAGGTCTGGTTGGCGGCCCTGCAGGCTGCAACTGGAGCCCCAAGCTCAGTGCATAAAGATTACCTGACCTGATCGTTCTGCCCTGTTGCTTGCACGCCGCTGTGGTGCAGTCCCAGGGCAGGGGCGAGCTCGGGGCGCGGCTACGGATTGGCCTCCAGCGGCCTGCAGCGCGCCGGCAGCGGCAGCGTGGGCGCCGATACCTGCAGCGGCGGAGTGGGTGTGGCCAGCGCCCCACCCACCCGCGGCCTGCCCGAGGTGTGCAGCCCTCCGCCCTCCAAGCCCCTCAACTTTGTGGGCCCTGTGGAGGTGCCGGTCAGCCCCTTCTCCAAGGTGCCGGTGCCCTGCAGCGGCGACGCGCCGCCCTGCCCCTGGCTGCACGGCGGCGAGGGCGACAGGCAGCAGCAGCCCGCGGCAGGCAGCGAGGAGGAGGAGGAGGAGTGGGACCAGGAGAACCAGCAGCCGTACGGCCCAGCAGCAGAGGCGGCGGGGACGCCGCTCACCTGGCTGGTGAGCCCCGTGAGCCGCGGCGGGCGGCCGCCGGCCTCGGCGCCTCTGGCCATCCCCGCGCCGCGCCACCGCCATGGCGCCGCCTCTGTGCTGTCACCCGGCATGCCCACGCCCGCGCGCGACACGCCGCTCCCCTCGGCCGCCGCCGTCATCCCGCTGCACCACTGCCCCAGCTTCAGCTCCTGGATGGTGTCAGCCAGCCGCCCGCCCTCGGCCACGCCGCAGCCCGGCGGCGGCGTGGCCGATGTGGTGGGCAACGTGCTGGCCGACGTGACTGCGGCGCGCCGCTTTGACGGCGGCTGCCCCTCGCACCTCGACCTGCTGCTGGCACAGCTGGGAGACACGCACTACCCGGCCTCTGGTGAGCCCCGGAGCGGAGCGGGGGTGGGGACGAGGCGCTTGGGAAGCTGCCCCTTGCTGCCGCTCGAGGCGCACGCACGCCAGCTGATGCCATGCTCTACTGACCGCACCACGCCGCCCGCCTGCCCCGCCCCGCCCTGCAGTCATGCAATGGGAGCAGGAGGAGCTGCCAGAGAGCCCCACCGCGCCTGAGTGTGGCCTCTGAGGCAGCGACAGATGGCGTCATCGAGTCGCCCGCTCAACAGCAGCAAATCAGACATGAGCGGCACACAGCTAACTCTCACAGCCCATACAGACCCCGACGCAGTTAAGGAAATCCACAGGTGCAGCTGATCTTCTCGCTTCTTTGACATTGTTTGCCAACCACACATCGTGCGAGCTGGCAATCATTTCCCGGCCAGCAGCTGGCTCTGCGGCGATGGGAAATGCCCCACCATGCAGCTCAGCACGCCCTCCCCTGTCTCTTTCTTTCCCTCTCTGGTTTTTCATTGGTGCCCTGCTCAGCCTAGGATTTACTCCTTGCATGTCGCAGCATGTATGCTTCGGCAGCTGCGCCTCCTGTTGCCCTCGTCACTCTCCAGCCCGACAGACCCACCCTACTGCCATGCAACCTCTCATTCTCGCTACAATGTTTCCTCGTGCACGCTTGCAAATCTTGCGCCATGCATCGGCTGCTTCGCTTCATGCAGCGCCGCCCATTTTGACCCAATTCATGCATTCATGCATAACGTGCCCCCTCCGCTTCGCGCACGCTCCTCGCACCCATTTCGTGTCAAACGCATGCTGTGTTCTAGGTCTCTCTCCCCCAGTGCAGCAGCCAAGCCTCGCAGCATTTCCCCTGTACTCGTGGGCCGTTTGTGGGCCGCCCCATCTCCCATCAATCGCATTGCTATACCTCACACTCACCCTCGCTGCTGTTCCAGGGTAGGTACAGCAATGCTAGCACAGTTTAATGCACACACCCCGAACGAGAGGCCGGGCGGGTGACTCTGGCGGCGCAGGCGCTCACTTGCGACGCTTGCCGCCTGCGGTGCCGCCACCAGAGCCCGGCAGCGGCTTGACCCGCAGTATGCCCGGCCTGAAGGCGCCGCCGTCCTCCATCAGCCCCCGGTCCACCTTCTTGCCCTTCTCCCGCCGCTTCTTCTTGCCCATGCCCTTCTGCTGGATCATGCCGGCTGCGGGCAGGGGCAGGGGCAGGTCGGGGCCGCCAGCCTTCAGACCCCGCATGCAGGCAGGGCTGGCCGGTGGGCAGGCCGCAGGCGCGACGCGGCAGCGCAGCAGGCGCAGCAGCATCGCAGCACAGCAGCGCAGGGCAGGCCGACCAGGCGCATGGGCCGGCGGGGGAGCCGCACCTGCGATGCCCTCCAGCAGGGCGCGCTCATCCCGCTGCGCCTGCTTCCTGGCCATGCCGTGCCCAATGGAGGCCGGGATGCGGGGCCGCGCCGCCGCCTTGGCCCCCAGCTTTGCCAGCATCTCAGCCTCGAACTTCTTCTTGCTCTTGCGGTCCAGCGCAGAGGCGCCTGCGCAGCGCGGGCGGGCGTGGCGGCGGCGGCGGGAGGGGTCGGCATGGGCAGCGGGCCAGCAGCGGTGGCATGGCGGTGCGATAGAATAGGGTGGCTGAGACACTCCGCAGCAGGCAGGGTGCGGCAGGGCGCCGTGCAGGAGGCACAGGGAGGCAGTGATGCGATGTGGTGGGGATTGGAGGCAGCCACGCAGGGGCTTGGCCCGGCGAGCGGTCCGCTGCGGATGGCTGTACTATGTGCCCACAGCAGGGTCGATGTGGGGGCGTGGCAGCGCGGCGGGCAGCCGGGATGCCGCCTGGGAAAGACTCCCAGGGGCGGAGGCTGGAGCAGGGTGGGGGCGGGCGAGGCCGCGAGGGGCCGGCACCTGCCGCTGCTCCCCCGCACGCAAAGGCGCTGCCGCGCCCCATGCAAGCATGCCAGGGTGAAGCACACCCCGGTTCCGCTTTCCCTTCTCCAGAACCGGCACATGCCAGCTGTGCCAAGCCTAGCCAGCAGCAGCATGCATCAACAGCAGCGGCATGCATCAACAGCATACAACCTCTGCCTCTCGGCCTCACCATACAGCTGCACCTCTCGCTGCATCTCCAGAAACTCGGCACGGCTGACGACGTCCTCCGCCTCGCCGCCCCCGGCTGCGCTGCCGCTGCCCGGCGTGCCGCCAGGCACCCGCCGCCGCCCGCTCCCGCCCTGCTCGCCGGCGCCACCGCTGCCGCTGACGACGGCTGGCTTGGACGACATGAAGCGCTTGCGCTCCGCCTTCAGCCTCGCCGCCTCCTGCACACGCTGCTGCTGCTGCGGGGTGGCAGGCAGGCCGCCGGAGCCGCCGGCGGGGCCCGCCCCACGCGGCCCCGGCGCCCTGCCGGCGCTGCCGACACCGTTGCTGGCACGCCGTGCTGCCGCCTTGCCGCCTCGCCCTTCAAAGATGTGCTCAACAGGGTCGACAGCTGCTTCCGCCCCGCCTTCTCTGCCGCTGCCGCTGCCGTCGCTGCTGCCGCCGGCGTCGCTGTCGCTGCTGCCAGAGTGTGCTGCCGGTCTGCTGGGCGGCGCAGCAGGCCTGCGGTCATCATGGTCATCAAACATTTGCAGGAAGCGCTCGCCTGCAGGAGGGCGGGCGGCGGGGGGATGGCGGCGGTGGCAGGGTGCACAGGGAAGGCAGGTGCGTGCATATCCAGGCTCTGCAGTGCTTCTTCACGGTCACGATTCCGAGGGCCCAGGCTCTGCAGTGCTGCCTCTTGCTGCCCGCGGCACGACGCATGCGGGGGCGCACCGTAAGCAGCCAAGCGCTCAGCGAGCGCCGCATCGCCCTCCGACTGCTCCTCCCGCTTTCGTTTCGACACTGGCTTGGCCTTGTGGCCCACAGGCTTGGCCATGGCTCAGCTTCTCTATGGTTGTCACTCTAGGAGCCAGGCTGGGCCCAGGCCCGAATCGCAGATTGTCGGCCAGGCGCAGTGCGTGTGTGAGTGGTGGCTCTCTTCGCCACGGCGCACATGCCAGCCTGGCGTGACTGGTGGCCATCGGAGGCTCTAAATGCATGGATCTCGTTTGCAGCGTCATCAATCACCGTGGCAGACCTTAAAGCTTCCACCGAAAGCCAGCCATGGGTCTCCAGCCGACATGTGGAGTCCGCCACTCGCTGGAGCAGCCTCGACTGCCGCTGCAGCAGCGCGATCGCACATTGAGACGGCCACAGCCGACGGCAGCCGCAGTGGGGCAGCCATTCTGCAGCACATGCGGCGCCGGCGGGCGGCAGCGGCGACAGCGGCGACCTGGCAGCTGCATACCGCAGGCACGGCCCTGGCATTCGAGGCGACCGTCGCCTCCATTGCATCACCAGCCAGCAAGGGCTTCACAAGTCGAGGCTCCATCTCAAGGTGGTTTGCCGAAGCATTGCACAGCTCTCAAGGCCAGCACGGCAGCACGGTGCGCCCGGCCTGCCTACCCATCAGTGCGCTGCCTGCCGCCTCCCTCCCTCTCCCTGCAGCCGTGGCTGTGGAGGATGCCTGGGCGCTGCTGCAGGAGTTCAGTGCCAAGGAGGCGCGAGGGCTGGCCCAGACCTTCCTGGACTCCCGCGACAAGCGGCAGCGGCTGCGGGATGCGCTGCTGGTGCGGCAGCCTTCTGCCCCCTGCTGCCCCCCTGCTGCTACCTTTGCTGCCCCAGGCCGCCCGCCGCTTGCCTGCTGGTATGCTGCTGCTGCTGCTGCTGCCCCGATCTGCTCGCTGCTTGCCTGTGCACGCAGGTGGCGGCTGCTGCGCCGTACGTGCCGGCGGGGTGGAAACCCGAGGCAGCGGACTCTATGGTGCTGCTGGGGGTGATGGCCTCGGATGTGCGCCTGGCGGTGCGCGCCCTGCGCGACTACTGCCAGGCCCTGGGAGTGCCCTTCAAGGTGGGCGCCACAGCGGAAGGTGCCGGCCCATACATCCTGGTGACAGCCGGCTTTGGCATTGCGCCGCCCTGCCAGCAACGCCACGGCCAGCTGCTGCTGACGGGCAGGGCAGACTACCGAGCACCGGCCGGCTTGTGGCCGGCACACTGCCGTGGCCTCCGACAGCCCAAGCTTGCTTGCCGCCGCCGCCTGGTCTCCGTGATTGCTTACCCCCCTGCCTGCCTGCCCCCTGTCCCGTCCTGCATCTGCCGCAGATGCCGGAGAGCCGGGTGCCGGGGGTGGCGGCGGCGCCGGCCATCGCGGGCCCCGCCTATGTCAAGTACAACTCTGCCAGCGGGCTGTGCTATGCCACGCGGTACGAAGGGCGGGACCGCGGCGTGCTGGTGCAGCTGGGGCAGCAGCAGCTGGGGCACCTGCCCCTCGGCCTCCATGACGAGCTCATGGCCCGCCCCGCGCCGCCGCTGGGCTAGCAGGCCGATGCCAGCTCGCTGTCAGCCACTGGAGCCTCCCAATGTGACTCTTCCCTCCCAGACGCAATTCGTGTATATCACCTGCTCAGTAGCACAGGGCTCTCTTGGATTCCTCAGTGGGGGCTCTCTGCCCGCCAACGCGGAGCAGCGGCGCCGACATGGGCAGACATTGCTCCGCTTTGCGTCCAGGGGCCATCGGTGATCGAACTTAAGCCCTTGAATCTCAAAATTGAATCGGGGGCAACATGTGTGCTCCCCAACCGCTGGTCGCGGGAGCAGCAGCGAGCTGCAGCGGTACGCCAGGCGTCCTGCACCCAGAGCGCAAAACTCTGCTGAGCCAGCCGCACCCGGCATCGTACTTCACTCCTCGACGCACAACCGCCTGTTCTGGACGTCTGCAGCCCGCTGAGACGTCACTGTCTGCCCCCACCTGTCGGCTACTCCTCTCAAACCGCCCCTCGACAGCCGCCTCTCTGGTGGCTCTGACCACGTAGAATGGCGACCAAGGTAAACCGCGGGAGCCTACATCCCTGCAGGCCGGCAAGCCAGGCCCTCTTTGCTGCAGCAGGCTGGTGCACCACCCTAAACCACCTGGTCCTCGCTGTTGGAAGAGACAGAGCAGCAGCGGGCTGTTGCAGCAACATCACGGGGAAAAGCAGCGGCAGGCGATGGGGTTTGCGTCACGCCAAGCCATCCCCCGCCCCTCCGCAATTGCAGAGCCCCGCCAAGAAGGTCAGCCGCAAGCCGGCGGCCAAGAAGCTGGCAAAGAAGCCGACCAGCAGCAAGAAGCTGGCCAAGACCACCCGCAAGATCGCGTCCAAGGCGCAGGCCCCTGCACCGGCGCCAGAGGTGGTGGCGCCCGCCCCCGCAGCTGTAGCGGTGCGTCTGTCTGCCATCGTACCAGGCGCTGCACAGGCCATGCTAGGTGAACCCCGTTACCACTCCCACTTCCTCCTGTGTGCCCTTGCAGCCTGTCGCGCCCGCCAAGACGCCCAAGAGCAGCGCCAAGAAGCCGGCCGCCAGCAGCGCCAAGAAGAGCACGGGCAAGAAGGCCACCCCCAAGGCGGCCAGCACCGGCAAGAAGCCGGCTGTGAAGAAGACCACCGCCACCAAGAAGTCCGCTTCCAAGGGAAAGAAGGGCGGCCCCAAGGTGTGTGGGTGGGTGCAGGAGAGCAGGGCATGTGGGTGGGTGGGTTGGGGTTTGATGGATGCTTCAGGCGCCCGGGTTCGCCACGGCGAGGGCGCGCCAGCGCGGCGCCAGCCATGCGCAGCCTACCGCCGCCGCCGCCCCCACCGCCGCCACCTGCTGCGACGCTCCCGCTGGCTGCAGCAGACCGCTGCTGCCCCTGCTGCCGCAGCCCCTGCTCCCAGCTCTGGCGCTGGCCTTGTCGGCGGCATCCTTGGCGCTTGTTCGGCGGCTGTTGCCGCACTGAAGCGGCGGCTTTCGGTGGCGTAGGAGGATGTGGGCGCCCGCAGGCAGCAGCCTGAGGCTATCGTGCATGGCAGCAGCCTGGTGTTGTGCTGGGCGGATGGAATAGATGGGCGCTCAGCGACCAAACCGCACGGTCAACCAGTTGTGTTGAACTCTTGTGCACTAGTGCGGCGCTCAAGCAAGCGCGGCAGCAGTGGCAGTGGCGCCGACATTTGAGCGCTGCCTGGCCAATACTACGTAATTGCTCCTGACTGAATTGAGCACCGCAACCCACGCTTTTGGCTGTCACCCTCCCCTCCCGCACCCGCGCCTCGTGAGGCGGCATGCCTGGTCCGTTCTTCCTTCGTGCTGCAACTACTCAACGACTTGTTGTATTGCCCTTCGACCAATGCTAAATTGAACCACCGACTGCACCCTCCTGTAAAGCAGCTGAATCAAGAAGCAGGTGGTGCGGCACACAGCGGCGGCAGCGTGGCGGGGCCACCTCCCTCACAAAGAAACCCGGCAATCGCGCACTTCTCACTTCCCATCGACGATGATTAGTCCCGTGCACTGCCCTGCTCAGCCGATGAGCAGGCCAGCGCTGGCGTGCCATCCATTGCCAGGGAGCGACTTGGCGTTGCAGCCACGGCGCGCAGTTTTGCGATGTGCATGCCCAGATGGTTGCGATGCTAGCGGCAGCAGCGCTGTGAGGGACGCTGGCAGTGACCGGCGGCAGGACGTGCCGCCACTAGCGACGCCGGCGACAAGCAGCCGCAGCAGCAATGCGTCACTGAGCCGGCGCCGGCTAGGAGCTGCGGCCTTGTCTACTGCAGCAGCAGCAGCAGCGGGAGGCCTGCAGTCAGCCCTGGCGCCACCAGCGCTGGCAGCGGCAGCCTCGCCCGCCAGCCCCGCCGCCAAGCAGCAGCTTCGCGAGCTCAAGGTGCGCTGCCCTCACTGCGCGCCGCACTTTCATCTGCGTCTCATGTACCCTGCTTCCTACTGATTCGCCGCTCTCCGCTGTGCTCCCGCACCACAGATGGTGATGCGGGTGACTGCCCTACGGGGGTCGGTGCCGCAGCAGTGGGTGGCCGACCTGCAGAGCGCCATGGAGGGGTACGGCGTGGTGGCGATGGAGCAGCGGTCCCAGCTGGCAGACATCTACGCGGAGCTGGTGGGCAACAAGTGAGTCGGGTGTGGGCAGGCATGCCACGCGCCGCCGCAGCGACTGGCTCCTGCATGGGCATGGCAACCATGCAAGCATGCAACCGCGCTTCTGGGCCTGCACCAGGCAGCGCTGCTGTGCTGCTGCCACTCCGGATCAGGCAGACACTGCCCAGCTCCTCAGCCCCGGCCGCTGCCCACAAGCTCAACATCACGCCTGATGACGGGGCGGTGCTGCGCTGCCTGCTGCGCCTGCTGTGCAGGGCCACCAAAGGCCGCCCCACCAGCGTGGATGCCGTGACGCTCGGCGACACCTGGCTGCAGCGGGCGATCGCAGAGGGCCTGATCCAGCCCATCCCCGACGCCCGGCAGTACAGGTGGTGGGTGAGTGCCGCCTGTACCGCCTGTACCGCCTCCGCGCCACAGCCTGGTGGCGGCAAGCCTGAGGCGCCTGCCAAGTCGGAGCCTTAGGCGATCTGTGGGCTGGGACGGGGCAAGCACCCACGCCATGCAAGGCCTCCGGCCCACGCAGCGCGTGGGTTGAGGCGCCTGCTGCGCGTGCCGCGCCTGCTGCGTCCGCTGTGCAGGCCGCGCTGTACCCGCGCTGGCAGCAGCTGGTGTGCCGCGACGGCGCCGGCCAGCCCGACCCGCGGGGGGAGGTGTGGGCGGCGCCGTACCGCTGGGGGGCGACGCTGGTGGCGTACCGGCGGGACAAGCTGGGCAGGTGCGGGCGCGGGGGCAGAGCTGCGGGCGGCCAGGCCTGTCCTGCAGCAGCCACGACCCCCCTGGATTGGTTGGCATGCTCAGCACGTTGTTGCGGTCCGTGCTGCCAGGCAACGACAGCAAGCTGGCTGGCCGGCCTGGCTGCGCCTGCGGCTCCCTGCAGGGCGGACGGCGGCGGCGGCGCGCCCATCCGCGACTGGTCCGACCTGCTGCAGCCGCAGCTGAAGGGCCGGGTGGCTTTCATGGACTCGCCCAGGTGGGTGTGCTCGGGGGGTGGTGGGTCTATGAGATGGAGATGAGGATATGTGAATGCAGCATGGGTTGGCTGGTGGCGATGGTTGTGGTTGTGGTGGTGGGTGCGGGTGCGGCGGGTCCCAGCGCCTCGCTCGTGGGGCAGTCGAGCGCCTGCTGCCGCTCTCACAGCCGGTCAGCACAGCCTAACCGTCAGCTGTGGCTGTCTGCTTTGCGCCCAGGGATGTGGTGGGGGCTGCCCTCAAGACTCTGGGCCTCGGCTACAACTCCTCTGCCGCCGACATACGGCGCTGCGGGCTGAGCGAGCAGGATGTGCGCACGCGGGTGCAGCGCCTTGTGAAGCAGGTGCGCTGGAGGGCAGGACGTGATGTGGCTGCCGCTGTGAGCTGCAGGGCTGCTGGGCTTGGCAGCCCAGCCAGCCAGCCAGCCAGTTGTGGCGCCGAGGTGTCCAGACCTGCATACGTCCGCGCCCTGCTGCTGCTGCTGCCGCAGGTCCGTGTGTTCAGCAGCAGTGACCACCTCCGAGCGCTTGGGGCAGGGGATGTGGATGCAGTGGTGGGGTGGTCAGGTGCGCATCAGGGGAGGTGTGGGGGGCAGGGACAGGTGCTCATCAAGCACATCCCCCTTACTGCCCGACTCCTGGCACTCCTGGCATGCCTGCCATACGCCTCTTGCCATGCTTGCCTGAGATCCGCCCCCAAGGGAGCCCTGCCCCACCCCTCCGCCGCTGGCCCTGCAGACGACCTGCTGCCGCTGGTGCTGCGCACCAACAACCTGGAGGCAGCCGCGCCGCTGTCGGGCACCAGCCTGTTTGCAGACTGCTGGTGCATCCCTGCGGCCGCCGCGGGCGGGTAAGCCAGGGCCTCGCCGCCGCGTGTGTGCTTGCGGGAGAGATGCCGTAGCGGCACAGTACCATACCAGGACTGGCACACCCTCTCCAGCGCTGCTCTGCTGCCTGGTGTGGCGCCGTGCAGTGCCGAGGATGGCGAGGCCTCGCCCTTGCTGCCCTCCTGGTTGGAGCTGGGCCTCCAGGTAAGGCGGCAGCCCCCAGGCGGCACTGCTGGTACAGCCGCCACCTGCACCTGCACTCCAGCGCCTCGCGTCTGTGGGCGGCTTGCCTTGCTGAAGGCAGGCCGCCTCCCAGGCCTCTGCCTCCCAGCCTGCTCCCCGCCTGCCCCTGCCCGCAGCCGGTGCATGCGCAGCGGTCCAAGGGCCTGCGCGGCGGCGCCTCCCCGCTGCTGCTGCCGGGCGGGCCGACGCGGCGCGGCAGCGGCGGCGGCTGTTCGCTGCTGGAGCCTGGGGAGCCGCCCAGCGGCAGCAGCCAGCTGGAGCAGCTGCTGCCCAGCCGGGAGGTGCTGGAGCGCAGCGAGTTCCTGCTGCCGCTGGACCCCGAGACCAGCCAGCTGTACCGCAGGGTACTGCAGGCGTGAGGGGTGGCGGACACCAGCTGTGAGCATGCAGCTTCCTGACACCTGTGAACTTGCACGTGGGAAGCGGTACCCACAGGCATTGTCATGTCACAAGCGAAGCGGGTATGTGGGAACTTGGTGTGCCGATTGCCGCTGGCCGGCAAATTCAGCGGGTGCATGGGTATGAAATGGGCGCGGCAAAGGAATAAGCGGAGGACAGGCAGAGATGAAAAGCGTGGATGAGAGAGCAAACACCCAAAACGTTTCCGACAGAGCTCGAAGCCTGCTCAAGCAGCTGCAGGGGCTGGCTGGATGGTCTGGCTTGTGCTGGCTGGCTCAGCAAGGGCCGCACGCCCAGTTGGTGTCCCTGTCTATCACAGTGATGACCCGAGTCTCGGCGGGACAGGCCGCAAACACGCCCTGCAGCAGCAGCAGGAACCAGGGGCGCTCCATCACACACCATCCTCAAGCTGTCGAGTGGCCAGGCACTGGCAGCAAGGCGGCGCCAGGCACCGGCACCAAGCCGCGGCAGCAGGCAGGCAGGCGAGCGGGCATCTGCACAAGTCTCACCTGCACGTTCTTGCGCCGGGGACCCACCGCCGCGTCGACCGTGTACTTGGGGCAGGGCCGCAGCGCCGGCTGGCTCTTGCGGCTGTTGATGCGCCCGGTGCGCAGCACCTCTGAAATCTCGCCCCGCCCGATGAACCTGCGTTCCGACAAGGTGGCAGTGCCGCCCAGGAGGTGGCGCAGGGTGGTTGGCTTGCTTTCGGCCCCCCTGGGGCACCGGGCCCGCTCAGGGCACAGATGCAGCATGGCACGGGATGGAGCGAGCCGACCGCAGCACGTCATGCGTGCATTCCAGCACTTGCCACCAGACCCGCACCTGCAATCCATCCTGCATGCCGCATGCTCGGTGATGGCCAGCGGCCGCCGCAGCATGGCCGACAGCACCTGCTTGTCTGCTCTGCTCTGCTGGGTGCGGCTCCACACATTCCACGCCCACAGCGCTGCATGGGGTGCAGGGGTGGAGGCGGGGCGGGGTGCATGGAAGCGTGTGCGTGTAATGTATACACGCACGCGCGTCTGCAGGGTCACAGCTACGCAGACAGGCTCGGTCAAGGCATGGCCTCACCTGCAAAGCCCGCCCCTGCTGCCATCAACCCCCAAAAGCTGCGGTCCTTCTTCCGCTTGCCGCCGCCGCCGCCGCCGCCCGCTGCTGCCGCCGCCTGCTGCTGCTTTTGCTTGCCCGGCAAGCGCGTGGCCTTGACATTGCTGGTCGGCACATGCTTGCCAGCAAACGCCTTCCCTGGCTTTGGCTTCTTGCTGCCCATTTGGCGCAGCTGGCGGCGAGCAAGGCGCTGTGCCGCCGTCGGCCTGCCGCCGCTCGACCCTGCTGGCTGTCAACTGCTTCAGGAGGCCCCCTCTCTCTTACTTAACACAGCAGCTCTCCAACTCCTGCCGCAGGCCTGGCGCCAAGAAACGAATCGAGCAGTCTCGCAAGTGGCGATGAATGGGTTTCGTGAAGGGGTGGGGAGACCGTTGATGGACCCGCAGACACACCCTCGGGCCGGTGAATTGCAAGAACTGGCCAAATGCAAGAGCTCACGCGAGTTTTCCTGGTGTTTTCTTCCCAGCCCGTTTTCGCTCAAATGGGCCTCTGTCGGCCTGGGCGCCGACACAGCGTAGGTGTTATGGCGCCGCAGTAGCTGAGGTGCCCATGGTGGTCCAGAAGAAGGACCTCCTGCAGGTGAGCTTCACCATCACACTCGTGTTGGGGCAGGCAGGCGGCCCCCAGCTGCCCGCAAATGTCATGTGGTGCTGCTGGAGTCGGGGGCAGGCCGCCCGCCAACACCCGCCCTGCCGCCCTGCCACCGCCCGCCGCGCCGCCTCACTGCGCCGCCTCTCCGCTTCCACCCTCCTCAGGAGGACATAGCCATCGCCAACCATGCCGAGCTGAAGCCCATCAGCCGGGTGTGGGAGAGCACGGGGCACGAGTACGACGAGGGCCTGCTGCGCACCGCGCTGCTGCAGCGCCAGCAGGCCGAGCTGCGGGCGGCGCAGCGGGAGGGGTGGGTGCCGCCGCCGGCGCGCCTGCACACCCTGCTGCCCTCCTTTGCGCCCCCGGAGGGCAAGGAGGAGCAGGAGCAGCCCGACACAGGCACGCTGTCCACAGCCACCAGCGGCGGGCTGGCCGCGATGGACGCCGACGACGACGCTGCGGCGGCTGCGGCGGCGGCCAGCCAGGAGGAGCATGGCGCGGCGGCGGCCGCCGCCGCCGCTGCCCGCCTGCTGCGCCGCCAGCAGCGGCACGCGGAGAAGGAGCGGCGGCGGCAGCAGCTGCTGCGGGTGGGTGCGCGCCTGCGTGCTGGGTTGGGGCCGCTTTGCAATCTAGGCTCGTGCTGCTGCATTGCCCATCCTCCCTCCCTTCTGTTCAGCCCCAGGCGCTGCCGGCGCTCCCATGCACCCCACAGCCTCCCTCTTCCCCTCCGCCCCGCCCATCCTGCCCCGCAGGAGAAGCAGGAGGCCAAGGCGCGGGCGCGGGCCGAGGCGCGGCGCCGCTTTGCCGACCAGCAGCAGCGCTGGGAGGCGGCGGTGGCGGACAAGCGGCAGCAAGTTGCGGACCTGCAGCAGCAGGTGGGCGCTCCCTTTTTTTTTTTTTCCTTCTTTCTTGTTGAAAAAGCAGCAGGGGTGCGCCTGCCACGGCGCGGATCGTGGCTGGCAGCCAGCGGCGCCCCTGGCATGCAGCCCACGCTGCCGCCCTGCCTGCCCACGCTGGCCGCCCTCCCGCCCTCCCTCCCGCCTGCCCACCAAGCGCTCCCTCCTGCCCCGCCCCGCCGCGCTGCGCGTGCCCCCGCAGGCTGGCGAGGCGGAGGAGGCGACGCGTGGCGCCGAGGAGCGCATGCGTGACCTGGAGGAGCGCAAGCACGCCATGTTTCTGAAGCTGAAGAAAGCGCTGGACGAGGAGGCGGCGGAGAAGCGGCGGCGGCAGCAGCTGGCGGCGATGGAGGAGGGGGAGGTGGCCACGTCGCCGGCGCCGCGCGCGCAGCTGGCGCCGCCCCCCGCCGTGCCGGCCACCAGCGCCGGCAGCGGCATGCGCTCGCCCGCTTACCCGCAGCATGGCGGCATGCCGGGCTTTGGGCTGCCGCCGGGGAGGGCGGGCGGGCCGGGGCCCTCGCCGCTGCTGGGGCCCGACCATGCGGCAGCGCCGCTGCAGCCGCCAGGTGGCGGCCCCGGCGGTTACGGCAGCGGCTTCTACGGCGGCGGCGGCGGCGGCGGCGGCGTGTGGGAGGACAGCCGCAGCCGGGACGGCTGGGGCGTGGGCGGCGCGGGCAGCGCGGCCAGCACGCCCCGTGGGCCCCGCGACATGCTGCCGCCCGCGCTGCTGGCGGGCGGCGGCGGCGAGTTTGGCGGCGCGCGGCCGCGCGACGGCTGGGGCGGCGGGCCGGGCGGTGGCGGCGGGCCCAGGGACTGGCTGCCGCGGCGCGGCGCCAGCTTTGAGGAGCGCAGGTGAGGCTGGCTGGTGGCTGCTGCCTGGGGGCTGCCTGGTGGCCGCGTGGCGGCGGGCGGCCTGCCGCCAGGGCGAGGCCGGGGGCTACCAGCTTTGCCCATGCGCCTGCCTACTCTGGCTGCCCGCCCCTCCTTCCCCTGTCCACACACACACACACACACACACACGCCTGCACACCTGCCGCAGGCCGCCGCCGCGGGAATACCCTCGGGAGGGGCCCGGGCTGAGCCGGGAGCCCAGCGGGCGGGACGGCGGCGCCACCAGGGACGGGCTGGGCGGGCCCATGCTCGGCCGCGAGTTCAGCGGCAGGGACGGCGGCAGGGAGGGGCCGGCGCCGGGCGGCCCGCCGCTGGGGCGAGAGCTCAGCATGGGCGGCGGCGGTGGCGGCAGGGACTTTGGCCCCGGCGGCGGCGGCGGCGGCTGGGAGGGCCCGCCCCGCTTCGGCCCCACGGGCATCGCAGGCGGGCGCATCGGCAGCGGGCGGGCGCCGCCGTTTGACGAGCGGGAACGACTGAGGCTGCAGCAGCGAGAGGGCGGCGCCCAGCCGCCGCACGACCCCATGCCCGACCGGCCGTACGGCGGCGGCGGCGCGGGCGGCAGCAGGGACGGGTGGGAGCCTGGCGTCGGCGGCAGCCGGGACGGCTTTGCCAGCCGAGGCGACAGCTGGGACGGCTTTGGCGGAAGGGGCGACGGCAGGGACGGCTTTGGCGGGCCGCCCAGCTTTGGCGGCGGCGGCGGCGGCAGCCGGGACGGCTTCCCGGCCGGCTTTGGAAGGGGTGGCAGAGGGCCGGGCGGCTGGGGCCCAGGCGGCGGCAGGGAGGGCAGCAGGGGCAGCTTTGATGATGGGAGGGGCGGCCGCGGCGGCTCTGGCAGCGCTTATCGAGAGCCGCCGAGGGGGCGGTAGTGGCCGGCAGCCGCATGTTCCCCTGCCGCTATATGCGCATGTCCCCATGCATCCCGCTACAGCAGCACCAGCCTTCTCGCATGTACAATAGAGCAGCTATCATCCTTAGTTTACAGGCAGCGATTGTGCGAGGTGCGGGGTATGGGAGTTCCGGGGTCGATACTACATACAGGGAAGGGAGGGGGCAGGTCACTCCGCGTCGCTCTCAGCAGCCCAGCGGGTGCTCTCCTCGGCTCCCGCCTCTTTGGCGGCGCGCTTGCCGACGCCGCCCCGCAGCTGCTGCTGCTCCTGGCGCCGCCGCTGCTTGAACCAGTCCAGGGCCTTCTCTCGGGGCAGGCGGTGCAGGTCCCACAGGCTGGAAACAGCCTCGTCGCTGGGCCACTGCAGGCAGATGTTCGATTATATATATATAGTCAAAGGCAAGCTGGAAAGGTCATGGCCGGCAGGTCGCGGAAACGCGGGACATGCGCATGGCATGAGCAGCATGCAGAGCATGACAGTGCGGGCACAGCAGCAGCGGGGTGTGTAGCGCCGCGGGAGGCGCCAGCGCAGGCCGCACACCTGCGTGCGCGTGAAGATCATTTCGAGGGTGGCCTCCGCCTGCCGCCCCAGCGCCTTCTTCTTGTGGTAGTGCTTCCAGGCGGGCGTACCGCCGGGACCGTAGCTGCCGCCCGGCCCCGGCGCTGCCGCTGGCCGCTTCGCGGCGCTCCTGGCGCCGGGGGCTGCCGCCCGCTGCGCCTGCGGCTGCTGCAGGATGGCTTGCCGCTCCGCCGCCGCCTGCTCCGCTGCCACCTGAGCCTCCAGCAGGCTCTGCTGCGCCCTGCAAGTGGGGCGGCTTGATGCAAGAAAGGTAAGCCTGACTGCAGCGGTGATGTGCGTGTGCAAACAGCAGCAGCGGCTGCAGCACAGCCAGCAGCCGGCACTTGTGGCGGGGCTCACCGGTCGGGCGGCGGCGCGCCCTTCAGCCACTGCAGGACTGTCTGGCGCGGCAGCCCCAGCTCCTTGCAGAGTTTCTCGACCTGCGGTTGGCACCATGGCAGCCTCAGTGTGGCGCTACTGCTGGCGGAGACGCGCCCAGCAGCACCGCACTCACCTTCACTTGTCGCCGCCCGGCCGTCAAGGCCTGCTGCAGCTTGGTGACCTGCCAGGCCTCCAGCTCGTCCCCAGCCGCCCGCACCACGACTGCGGCGCGATGGCGGACGGGCAGCCGTAAGGCCGGCCGGTTGGGCGCTGCTTGTGTGCTGAGATGCTGCATTCTGCAGGCAAACATGGCTGAGCGCGCGTGTCTGTGGTGGGCGCAATGCATGCATGTGCATTTACAGGCCCGCCGGCCAGTGTTTCTGGCCCTCGTGGCAGCTTTGGCGATGGGCGGGCGATGAGGACTGCTGTCGCGTCCAAATTTCGCCAATCAGCTGGCGATGGCACATTGAGGATTGGCGAAATGCGGGGGAGCCACCCTTGCGCCTGGCACAGCGCAGCGGCCACATGCGGCGCCGCTGTTGCTTTGTCGGCACTTGCCTCCCTTTTGGGGGACTGGGGGCGAAGCCCCCAGCAAGCTGGCGCTTGTTTAACACTATGGAATGAAGTTCCTGAGGAAAATTGGCCATTTCTCCTCAAAATATTGGCGATGTCAGTCATGGGGGCTGGCGACGCGCTGGCGATGTCGCCCCGCCGCCTGCCCTCATTTAGCCAGCTCTGGCTGGCGATGGCCTTCGGCCAATCGCCAGCCAGAGCCGTTTTTTGGCCCGATTTCGCCAGCATTTGGCGATTTCGCCAGCTTTCAGAAACACTGCCGCCGGCCCGCCGCCCGCTGAGGTGGCGGCGGCCCAACAAGAGGCCGCCGGTTACACCACGAGATACAACAAAAGAACGACAAAAAAATGCCCTGCGGCCCGACTGTGCCTCAGCGTCCCAGCACCGCAGCCCGCAGGCGCGCCTTGGCATCGCTCGGCAGAGTGGTGCACCCCTTCAGCACCAGCGCCTGCGGCAGTGGCGGGTCGGAAGCACAGTATACCATTGATGGACACAGACATTAAAATACCTCTCCCCAACCAAAACAAACACACTCTTCCTGGCACAGCGGGTATCATGAGAGCATTCAGCCCAGCGCCGCAGCGTGCACCTTGCGACGGGGTGCAGGCGCCTTGCCGCTTGCGCCGCCGCTGCCCTCGCCATCCTGCCGCTCGTCGGCCTCGCCACGTGCGGCCTCCGGTGCTGCTGCGCCGCCGCCCACATCCTCGCTGAGCTGCACCTCCCGCAGGTTGCAGCAGTTTTCCAGGTCCAGCTGAGACAAGGTGGCGGTGCCCAGCCTCACATCCTGCAGGCAGCGGGGAGTGAGTGGCGGCGAGTGGTGGGTGGGCAGCACAGCAGAAGCAGTAGCCGAGCAGCCAAGCAACCAGCCAGCGGCCAGGCCTCTGGAAGGCCACGCTGCACGCCTGCATGGCCACACCGCACTCAGGAAGGCGTCCTGGGGATACCTTGCACCAGCTGCCACCCCAGCCAGCCAGGCGGCAGGACGCTCACCATCAGGCGGGCGCACCCGGCTGCCCTGAAGTGGCACAGCAGCGGGCTGGCCAGCAGGACCTGGCGCAGCAGGCTGCACCCGGAGACGCTGCAAGGAGGAGGGGGGGGGGGGGCAACAGACGGCCTGCTGCTCAGCACGATTGACTGACGCCGCACCTGGGCACCCTGCCTGGCGCACCAGAGCAGCAGAGCGCTGCCCGCCATCCCACCCACAGCTCGACTCACGCACCTGACCGTGCGCAGTGCTGTGGCCTCTGGCAGCAGCAGGCGAGGCAGGCTGATGCAGCCGGTGAGGTCCAGGGAGAAGCACTTGGTCAGGGATGCCGCGCATGCCTCCAGGCCTGCACCCAACACACAGAGACAAGGCAACTGTCACTTTTGTGGAGGCAGCCAAGAAAGGAGCAGCGGCGCTCGCTGTCGGGAGGGAGCAGGCAAGGCAAGGCAGGCTGGCGGCGGGCTGCTCGACGTCACGCGAGCGGAAGACGAGGAGGCAGGGGCGGCAGCGGCGGCGGCAGCAGGGCACCCGCCTTCCGCGTCCAGCTGGCGGCACCCAAACAGGTTGACCTCCTCCAGCGCTGGGCAGCGCAGCTCGCCGGCGGACAGGGTGAGGCTGCTGCAGTTGACAGCGCGCAGCTCGCGCAGGCGCCTGCGCCGGTCGGGGGGAGGCGGGGAGGCAGGGGGTGCATCCTGAGGTCAGGGCGCAGCCAATGTGTGGGGTGGGCTGGTGCACGTGGGGTGGGGCTGGGGAGGGAGGAGGGAGAGTCACTAGCCACAAGGAAGGGGGAACCCAGCGGGGAGCCAAGCGATCATGTCGGCGCACGCCCCACCTGCACCGCAGGGTGAGGCTGCGCAGCTGGCCGCAGTGGCTGAGGTTGAGGGACTCCAGGCGGGACGCCACCACCAGCACCTCCGCCAGCTGGCGGCAGCCGTCCAGGTGCAGCGCGCGCAGCGGCGCCTCCGCCGGCAGCTGGATCGCCACGCAGCGCAGCGAGGCGCAGCCGCCGGCGCGCAGCACCTCCACCATCGCCTGCACGGCGGCAGGAGGGCGGCGGCGGGGCCACGGCAGGAGTGAGGGGGAGGTGCGGGGCGAGGCGAGGGATCCAGGGATCCGAAAAGGGGCGGCCGGGGAGGGGCGGGGCTGTGCGGCAGGAGCTGGGGTGGCGGCCCGCTGGTCTGACCCTCGGCTGGAGGTCCAGGTCGGACCCCAGGTTGGCGCAGCGAGACACATCCAACACCTGGAGGCAGGCGGCAGGCAGGCAGCAGGCAGCCTAGGGTGAGTTTACACAGAAGAGGCAGCGGCAGCGGGAAGGGACCATGGCTGCAACCAGCCAGCACAGCGGCGACAGCCAGGCCGCCCGCCGCAGGGCGGCGCCCAGCTGCACGGCTGGCGCGATGGCCAAGACCCAACCCCGCCGCCGCCCGCCGCACCTTCAGGCTCTTGCTGGTGGCGCTGCCCGGCTGGAGCAGCTGCCTGAGGCCGCGCCCGCCGACCGAGGTCTCCCGCAGGCACAGCTCCTCCAGGCCGCCCGCCGTCGGCCGCCCGTGCTGCGCCCTAGCTGCAGAGGCAGGGAGGCGAGGGGCACACGCACGCCGGGTGGCAAGCTGCCGGCGCATGCTGCCCCAACGCAGCCATGGCAGGCAGCCAGGAAGGCCGGCGCCCGGCGCGGCGTGCAGGCAGACGTGCATGCAGGCAGGCAGGCGGCGGCGTGGAGCAGCGTGGGAGCGCACACCTGCCGCAGCACAGCGTTCGAGCATGTCGGCGTGGCGCTGAGCGGCGATGCGCCGGACAGCCGAGTCGGGGCTCTCCATCGCCGGAACAGGCGCAGGCGCCAGGGCTGCCGCGGCCGGGGGAGGGGAGCCAGACAGCCGCATGCCGCCTACACCAGCCGCTGCATCCTTCTGCTCCCACGCCCCTTCCTCCTCCTCCTCCTCGCTGCCAGCGGCCGCATCTGGCTGGCGGGTGTAGGCCGACAGGCGTACCATGGCCGCATCCCCCACCCCCACACACCGCGACAGGTCCAGGCGCCGCAGGCCGGAAAATGTCTCGCACAGCGCCGCCACCACGCCGTCTGTCGCGCCGCCGCACCGCGCCAGGCTGAGCTGGCTGACGGGCACGCCGCTGGGCCTGCGTCGGCGCAAGGCACGCGGGTGGGGGGGTGTTGCAGCGGGCAGCCAGCAGCGCCACTCTACTAATGCTCCCTTGCATGCTGCCTGCAGGCAGCACGCGCTGGCTGCCACCCCACCGCCATGCAAGCCGGCCTCCCCCTCTGCCTCCTCTGCCTCCGTACCGGACCCACCCCACACCCAGCCCCCCACCAGACCGGGCCCCATGAGCAGGCCAGCTGGCAGCCACGTGGGCAGGCCGCCCACCTGTCGCTCTGCCCCAGCGCCACCGCCCGTAGCATGTCCTCGAACTCGTGCTGGAAGCGCAGGGCGGCGGCGCAGCGCCACAGCGACACGCCCCGCGCGCCGCCAAACGCCGCCACCAGGCTCCTGCACCCCGCGGCGGAAGGCGGGGGCCCGCCAGCCGTGAGGCCCCAGGCGAGGCGCCAACAAGCCCGGGATGAGCAGCAGGCGTAGCAGGCTGCCGGGCGTGCCCCAGACGCAGCGGATGCAGAGGGAGGCGGCCGCGCGCTGCGCAGCCCCCACCTGACCGCCGTCAGCGACACGCCCTCCGGCACCACCACCGTGGGCAGGCTGCGCCGCTGCTCACGCACGTACGCCGCAAACTCGCGGCACGTGCGCGCCGCCCGCGCCAGGTCCCTGCATGGTGGTGGGGGTGGGATAGGGGGGGTGGGTTCGGCTGCGGGGCAGGGCAGGCCACGGCAAGAGCTGCCGGCACTGTTGTGCCAGCCGCCTGCTGCGGGCCCAGGCAAGCAAGCGCTCGCCCGCAGGCTGGCGCTCACCGCAGCGACAGCTCCTCAAACACCAGCCACTTGCACTCTGTCGGTAGCGCATCCCAGTAGCAGGGCTGGGCGGGGTGGGCTGGCGTGGGCGGCGGCCCGGCGGCCGCCGTTGCCGTGCCAGGCCGCGCATCCCCCGCCGCTGCCACGCCTGGCGGGGCAGCGTCTGCGGGCTGCGCGGCTGCGCTGCTGCTGCCGCCGGCCAGGGTCAGGAGGGCGTCCATGGCTGCAGCTGCGTCGCCTCCGCACGACGCCAGCACGTCTGCCACCACCTCCCGGTCCAACACCCCTTCAAAAGACTCCTGCAGGGCCGCCAGGCCTGAGGCACCTGCCGCTCGCCCCGCGGCAGGCGACCGGGCGCCCGCCGCGGCACCCTCGCGCAGCCGGAAGCCAGGGATGTAAGAGGTGCCCGCGTCGCCGCCGCCGCTGCCGCGCCGTCCCTTGCCCTTGCCGCCTTTGGAGCCGCCCTGCCGGCCTCGCCCTGCCGCTGTTTCATCGGGCTCCGCTGACAGGAGCCAGGAGAAGGCTTGTTGGGAACGGGACGGGACCCCGCGTCGCCCAGAGGCGGACATCGTCCGGGCGCCCTTGAATATGCAGGACACTGATCAGGAGGCAGCGGCGATCGATGGAATGCCGCCTGTGCGCCCCCCATTCAAGGCTCGTCTGTACCTCGTCTGTACCGGGCTGGGCAGTTTTCAGCGCGAAGCTCACCCTCGACATGCCCCGGGGGACATGAGAGCATCTCGTTTCTCCCTGTTCGAAACACCAGCGCTATAATCTGCAATCCAAGGCTTGGCAGGCACTCGGCCCCATCCACCGAGGTTCGAGGCAGGCGACCTTCGGCCATCCCTGCAGGCTCCTCCTGCATTGGAGTGTCGCCCAGACACCAATGACGGCCCTTCGAGGCCCTCCTAGGGCCGCCTGGATGCTGGCGCTCCTTGCTTGCGGCCTCGCAGCGGCGGCAGCGGCGGACGAGGCACCCGTGCAGATGGGTCAGTTGGCTGCCTACCTGCCTGTCCACCATTCCACCGTACTCCCACACTCTTACTACGCCTCCCTACTTTCCATCACTCCTGCAGACTGGGTCTCCATGCTCTCCGACATGGTGGATGGCGACATGAGCGACGGCTCTCTAGACAGCTTCTTCGGCAACCTGCCGCTGGGCGACGACGGCATGGCCGACATCTTTGGGTCCCTGCACGAGCTGCTGGCAGGCATGGGGGACGCCCCCGCTGCGCCAGGGCCCACCACGGGGCAGCCCACCACCTCCTCCGCCGAGCCCACCACGCCGCCTGCTGGGCCCACCCCCTCTGCCGCCCCCAGTGCCGACCTCAGCGCCGAGGCCGCCAGCCAGCTGTTCAGCTCCCTGTTCGAAGGCGCCAGCAGCCCCTTTGCCGCCTTCTTCAGCGGCGGTGGCAGCGCTGGAAGCAGCGGCGGCAGCAGCGCCAGCCAGCTGCTGCCTTCCTTCCTGGGCCGTGCCGCCGGCAGCAGCTCCCCGCCGCCCGGCAGCGCCGCCGCCCGCGGCTTCCTGCTGCCTGGCGCCGGAAGCTCCCTGGGGTCCCTGCTGGGGCTGGGCGGCGGCGTGGAATCCCTGGTGAGCCCCGACAACCCCCTTGCGGCGCTGCTGCAGCCCTTCAACGCCCTGCGGGCGTCGCACGCGGAGCTCATGCAGCGGCTGCAGGCCGCCCTCCAGCAGGCCGACTCGCTGTTTGACGCCCCAAACCTGGACGACCTGTTTGGAGGTGAGCAGCGATGTGGGGCGCCGCTGGGGCGGCGCTGGCATGGCGCTGCCCAGCACCAGCTGTGGTGCTGTGCGTTGCGGTGCGTTGTGTTGTGCTGTGGATGCAGCAGCCTGCGCCGCAGTTCGCTTCCCCTGGCTGGCAGCGACGCTGCCCCCTCCTGCTCGTGCGGTTGCCTGCCCCGCAGGGTTTGAGGTGGGCAGCTTCCTACAGAGCCTGGGCCAGGAGGACCGCTCCCTGATCAACCACACCCTGAGCGCGGCTCGCGAGCTGGAGCAGCGCTACTGCACCCCCTCCTACGCCACAGGGGGCGGCAAGGTCCCAACCAACTGTGAGGTGAGCCACTGGGTGCAGACCCCCATGCTCCGCTCATGCGTTGTGTGACGCAGTTAGAGCTGACCGCCAGCATCCTCCAGTGGCCGCTCACCTCCCTCATACGCCCGCGCCGTCCCCCCAACCTGCAGGGCGGCAACGTGACGCTGTCCATCTCGGGCGGCCACTGCGTGTTCAACAAGGACAAGACAGGTGGGTATGTGGCAGCTCCCCTGCTCGGCATCCCCCCCCCCCACACCTGCTTCCGCTACTCTCAGCTGGCTTGATGCATGTGCCCTTGCCTGCCCGCCGTCCTGCCTGCCCGCAGTCACGTGCAAGAAGCCGCGCGTTCTGCTCCTCAAGCACCCCTCCCGCTGCACGCTGCACCACCACGAGCCCGTCACGGTGGTGGGCAAGGAGTGCAAGGTGACCAAGGACTATGGGGAGCGCAAGGAGGGCTACCTCAAGCCACCCAAGAACTCCACCCACCAGCTGCCCGGCCTGCGGGACGTGGTGAGGCTGCTGGGGGCCAGAGGCTGGTGGCATGGTTTTCTTCTCTCTCGCAGCCACCCCCCCCTGCACTGCTGCTGGGCCCAGGATCCTCCAGCACCTTTTCTCACACACACTTTTGGCATCGCTGTGCAACCTGCGCTCGCTGCAGGACCTGCCGCAGCTGCACGACCTCCACGCAGCCCTGGGCGGCTCCCCTCTGCTGCACCACCACAACATCACCCTCCAAGGAGGGGGCTCCTCCAGCCTGCCCGCCCGGCTCGCAGACAGGCTGAGCGGGTGAGCAGGGCTGCCAGCCGCGGAAAACACACTCCTCTGCCTCCCACTCTCTCCCCTTGAAGCAGCATGGCCTGCCACCTGACCCGTGCAGGCTGCGGCACGCCATCTCAGACCGCCTGTCCGCCCTGCGCCAGCGGCTGTCGCACGCTGTGCCCTACTGGGATTGGTCGTGACCTGGTCCTGGCGTGGCTGCCGATGGAGAGGCAGGGATCATTACACAACAATGAGTAGACACACGGTGGACTTGGACAGGGAGAAAGAGGCAATTCAAATGAGGCAGTGGTCGGCTGGTCGGTCGGTCAGTCCAGAGCAGGGCAACAGTGGCGCCAGCGGGGAGTGCCGGCGCTTGGTCGTATCATATCAGTTGAGGTGTTGACGTCATGGTCGATGCAACACGGGCAACCAAACCGGCAAGTCAGGCAAGAAAGTCGGCCATGTCCATGCCAGCCAAGTCAAACAGTGTGTGGGGCTGTGTCTGAGCCTGCTGTGGCGGTGGCGGCTGCTGCGGGGCTGGCACCTGCGGGCTGCGGCTGGCAGGCGCCGGCTCGGGGCTGTCGGACACAAGCGCCAGGCCGGGAAGCAGCGGGACGGAACGCGGGTGCTGCTGGCCCTGGCTGCGGGGAAGCACCAACAGCGGCGCGCCTTCCCCTGGATCGCTGCCGCAGCTGCTGCCCCACTGCGAGGCCCAGCCGCCGCCACTGCCGCTGCTTGGTGGCCGGTCTGGCAGCTGCTGCGCCTGCTGGTGCCCCTGCTGTGGTTGCGAGCCTGGCATCGTAGAGCCATCCCAGGCGCCACCTCCTTCCGCAAGCGCGGCCACCGCCGCCTCGCGCTCCGTCTCACCCTGCTGCTGCTGGGGGCGCTGTGCTGCTGGCGTCAGCCTGCTGTTCACCTCCAGCTGCTCGATGTCTGGCTCGAACTCGGTGCTCAGCCAGTCGCTGCAGGAGAATGGCACAGCAAACGGCAGGCAGGCTGCAAGTGAGGTGGGGCGGTGGCAGGCAGGATGCACACCAGATGCGGAGAGGGAGGCATGCAGCAGCAGGGCGGGGCAGAGCGCGGCTGGGGAGGCGTGCCCCTCCACTGTGCTAGCCACTCACGAGTTGCCGGGGCCGGGGCTGGGCAGGTCCCAGTGGTGGCTGAGCGAGCGCACGCCGCCACCGCTGTCGGAGCCTCCCTGGCTGGCCGCGCTGGCAGCTGGCACCGCTGCCGAGGGGGCGGCGTGAGGCTGCAGCTCAAACTCGGACTGCTCATCCTCAACCGCCATCTGCTGCTCCTCATCCCCCTGCTGCTGCTCAGACCACTCTGTGGCGGGCATGCGCAGGCTGGGGCTGCTGGCTGCGCTGCCTGCGCCCACCTCTGCCGCCGCCTCTGGCAATGCTGCGTCCTGCGGCTGCTGCCAGCCTGCCCGGTCGCTGCTGCAGCCATCCGGAGAAGCCGTGCTGGAGCGCAGCTGAGCCCAGACCCAATCGTTCTCAGCATCAGCCTCCCCGCTGCCCACAGCCGCGCGCGGCGCTGCTGCTGGCGCTTGATCAGCGGCGGCAGCAGGGCGCGCCCGAATGGTCAGCGCGCCGTCTGCAAGCTGCTCGGGCAGGGACCTCTCCTCATCCTCTGCCACCTCCTCACGCTGCCGCTTGGGAGGGGAGGCCGCCAGCGGGTTGCTGTGCCACACGGTTGGCACTGCAGCAGGCAGCCAGACGGAGCCCAGGGGCACCACATGGGCTCAGGGCAGCCTTGGATGCAAGCAGCTTGCTTCAGCAGCGACAACAATCCCCGCTTCCAAAGCCCGTTTTGGATCATCCAACTACCTGGAAGCTTGGTGCTGCCAGCAAGCGTGGGAGCACCGCCGCCGGAGCTCATCAGCCGCTGCATAGACTGCCCTGCCGGCGAGGCAGCATCAAATGTGCTGTTGGGCCGCCACGCGCCAATAGCGCCCTGCAACTGGCCCTCCTTATGCTGGCGCTGCTCCCGCAGGGCGGGGGCCTCAGCCCCACCCGGCAGCTGCACCTGAGCCTTGGCAGCGCCGCAGCTGCTGCCCAGCTCAGCGCTTGGCACCGCCGCCTGCTGCTTGCCGGCAGGGTCAGCCGTCGGAGCGTCGCCAGGCCCCTTTGGCGGCAGCTGTGCCGCAAGGGCAGCAGCGCCCGCCACACCCAGCTGCGCCAGGTCAGTCTCCAGCGCCGCAATCTGCTCATCCAGCGCGACAGAGTACAGCTGCATCAGGCGGCCGTCCTGCACCGGCAGCACCGCTGCCGCCGGCAAGGCCGTCTTCTGCTGCTGCAGAGCCTGGTTCTGATGGTGGTGCGGGCGGCCAGCCGGCCTGGCGCCGCTGCTGGGCGGGCTCAGCAGCTCGCCGCAGCTCTCGAGCTCGAGCCTGCCGCCCCTGCCTTTAGCGCTGGGATTCGCTGCATCCGCTGCTGCCAACGGCTCTGCCAGATCGAGCTGCCAGCCTGCCACGGCATCCTCCCAGCCCACCGGATGCTCCTGGCGCTGCTGCTGCTGCATCCCTAACCGGCTGCCCTGCTGCTGCCGCCGCTGCTCCTGCAACCGCAGCAGTGCGCGGGTCGGCGAGGGCTCTGCTGGGATGAGGCCGCCGCTGCCAGAGCTGTTGACGCCGCTGCCGCTGCCTCCGCCATGCTGCTGCTGCCCCTGGCCCTTGCTCAGGCTGCCAGTGCCAAGCAACGCTTGCTGTGCAAGCTCCTGCTGCTCCCAAGCAGACGCGTGCCTGACCACCACCTTGTGAGCCGACTGGGCCCCAGGCGATCCCACCCGCTTGCTGCTGGGCTGCACGGAGGAGGATGCTGCTGCTGCCTGGCGCTGCTGCTGCTGCTGCTGCTGCTGCTGGCGCAGTCTGCTGCCGCTCCTCGACGGCGCTAAGCCTGCTGCCCGCGGCCCTGCTGCTGCAGGTGACCGCCGCTGCTTGGCTGCGGCGGGGCTGGGCGTCAGGCCTTCCCCTGCCAGCGCCCGCCGCAGCTCATCCCGCAGCGCGCCCTCGATGGTGGCCTTCTGCCGCAGCGCTGCCCGCAGCTGCTTGGCCTGCAGGCGCATCGAGAGCAGGAAGCAAAGCAGCAGTGAACAGCAACCATGGCGCTGGCGCATACATGTTTCAGCAACCTGTCCTGCATGAGCTGCCGGCTGATGTGTTGGCAGAGCAGCAGCGCCCACCTCCTTCTGAGCCTCGGCCGCCGCCGTGCGCTCCAGCTCCAGCTGTTGCAGTAGGGAGTCGCGCTCTACGGCCAGGGCACCGGCCTTGGGCCTGCACATGCAAGCACTCAGGCGCTCGTTGCAAGCAAGGGTGGGGCATGGGGCGACATGCGTGAGTGGCAGCACAGTGGTCTGCTCACTTGAGTGCATCCAGCACACGCCGCAGCTCCGTGGTTGCCGCCCGCTGCCTCTCCAGCGCGGCATCAGCTGCCTCGGCCCGCTGCAGCAGCTGCTGGCGCTCCGACTGGTGCTGCAAAGGGGGCCAGCTTAGAGAGAGATGGAGCAGCACGACTGCGCAAAACAGCACTATCACCACATGCGCAGTGGAACGGGAACGCACATGAGCCCGGCCAGAGTGCAAGGCGGTCCGGCGCCAGCCAAATGAGCGGCTGCATCCCACCTGCGTCAGCGCCTGCTGCTGCGCCTGCAGGTGCTCCCGCGCCTGCTCCAGCGCCGTCGAAACCTGTGCCAGCTGCTGCTTGGCATCAGACAGCTGCATGGACAGCCCCAGCGCCTCCTCCTGGCCCTGCACAGAAGCCGCAGCGCAGCGCCAGCACCTTCTATCAATCGGAAAGCTCTTCTTCTTCTCCTCTAGTGAGCAGCTGTTTCCCGGCACAGCACAACATGCGTCAGCCTATACTGCGCCTGGGCAGCTCACCCGCGCCACTGCCCTCAGCAGCGTGCCCGGCACCTCCGCCCCGGCGCTCTTGGTCAGCTGCTCTGCCGCCAGCTCCAGCCCGCGCTTCAGGCAGGCTGCATCCAGTTGCGACTGACGGGCCGACGCCTCTGCCGCCGTCGCCCGAGCCTCGGTTTCGTGCACCGCATGTGCCATCTGGTCAAGCTGCACAGTGCCAGGGCAAGCCGGGAAGACACACATGCCAAAAACGTGAGCCGCCCAGCAGCAGCAGGTAGAGACAGCCAGTAGCATGTGTCAAAGCATCTATGTTTGTGCAGCAGCTGCCTTTACAGCCGGCACAGGCACCCCACCTGTGACTTGTACTGGGAGCAGCGCTGCTGCAGCTCCGCCGCGTGCTTGACCGACAGCAGCCGCGCCTCCAGCCTGCGCACATACGCCTGCGTGCCTGCAGCCCAGCGGCAGCGGAGGATTGTGTAGCACTGGGAACCCTGGGTCGTGCCGGTGCTCCTGTGCCAGTGGAGCTCTCTGTGCCATGCCAGGCGTGCCAACAGCACCAGCAAAACCTGGCCCCGCCATCACCTTCCAACAGCACCCACCTGCAGCCCCCGCCTCCAGCTGCCCCTTGTCAGCGTTCAGGCGGTCCACGGTGCGCCGCGCCAGGTCCAGCGCCTTGTCCCGCTGCTCCAGCTCCGCCCGCAGAGTCCGCACCTTCTGCCGCAGGTCGCCCACGCTGGCCTCCTGCCGCTCGTGCGCCGACAGCAGGCTGGCAAAGTCGCGGCCCATGGCGGCGGTCTTCTTGCGCATCTGCACCATCTCGCCGCCGTCCCCGGCCTTGGCCGCCCTCTGCTGCCGCGTCTTGAAGTAGGGCTCCTGTTCGGCGGCGGTGGGAGCAAGCAGAGCGGCAACGGCGGCTTCGTGGCGGTGGAGGTTGGGGGAGCAGCGGCCAATGTGCGGCGGACAGCAAGCACAAAGCCAAGAGCTCACCGCCATGCTGCTTCTGTAGCCAGCCAGCTTGGAATGCAGGACGATGCTGTTCTGGGGCTCCAGCTGTCCCTCGTCGTCGTCGCCCAGAAGGCGGGCTATGGGCGAGGGCACCGCCGGCCCGGGCCGCTCTGTCCTTCTCATTGTCGCTGCCGCATCAGAACGCGCAGTTCGGCGCGCTGTGCAAAGCTGTCGCCGACTTTGTACTCATGCTGGGCCGTGAAATGCCAAGTCACGACTCCAAAAACCGCAGCAAGGGCTCTGAAGTCCGCGCACAGCACATGCGGGGTGGATTTGCTCACCCCGATGCTGCCCCTTTCCTTCCTGCTGGGCTGGGCGGCACTGTGGGCCAGCGCCAGGCTACTGCTGGGCCTTTCGCTACCTGCAGCTTCCCGTAGGCTTGCATCCACCAGCATCGAGATCGAACTCGACTGGTGGAGAGCCACAGTGCGGGTGCACAGCGCCGATGGCGGCCTGGCGGGGCGGCTGGCGGCCAGGCACCGCAGTGCGCTTCGCAAATGGTTTGCCGTCGGCGCCGCAGCTGGCCTGCTGGCTGCAGCCTGCAGCGTGGCGCTCCTAGTCGGCGAGCTGAGAACGCTGCTGCGCGGTCTGCTGCCGGTACCGGCGGGCGCGGCAGCAGCAGGGGCGGCGGAAAGGGGTCCACGACTGCAGCTGGCGCTCCCGGGCGTGACGCTTCCCCTCAGCCACGCCGCACCACTGTGGCTGGCACTGGCGACCTCCCTGGCTGTGCACGAGGTGCGGGCCTGGCAGCTGGACCGGTGTTGACTGACTGCTTGCCTGCCTGCCTGCCGCTGCCTGCCCACGTTGCCACTACGCAAGCTCCTCACCCGTGCCCGACCCGTGCCCAACCGCCGTTCCCTCCTCCAACTGTCGTCTGCAGGCGGGGCACGCACTGGCTGCCACCGCCGAGGGCGTGCAGGTCAGCGCCGCCGGTTTCAGCCTGGTGCTGATGCTGCCGGCGGCATTCGTGCAGCTGGACAGCAGCGACCTGGCGGCGCTCGGCAGGCACAGCATGCTGCGCGTGGCCACCGCGGGCGCATGGCACAACGCGGCGCTGGGGCTGGCCTGCTGGCCCGCGGCGCAGCTGCTGGCCCGCCTTTGGTGGGGGCCGCTGCGGCCCCTGCTCGCGCAGCTGCACCTGTTGCTGTCCTACACGCTGTCCCTCTCGGCAGCCCTGGCCCTGCTGAACATGGCGCCGGTGCACTTCCTGGACGGCCAGCAAGCGCTGGAGGCGCTGCTGCTGCGGCCCCTCAAGCCTCAAGAGCTGCCGGAGCAGGCGGAGGCGCAGCATGGCGGCAGCGACAGCAGCGTCGATGGGGACAGCATGGCACCCGCCAGTAACAGCAGCAAGGCCAGGGCTGTGCGCTGGATCCTGCATGCTGGGACCGGCCTGTATGCTGCAGTGCTGATGCTGCATGTGCTGCGCATGCAGTGACGCCCCTTCGTCTCTCTGCTGCGCCCTGTTTTCCACAAAAGCAACTGTAAGCCGGCAAATTTTGAGAAGGTAGCGGACTTTCCACCCGTTGGTGCCCAACGCATCAGCTGACAAACCAGAGGAACCTTGGACTGCATCTTATTGATGGTCGATGAGGCCACTGGCCAGGCATGCCAGCGGGACTGAGCAGCCCAGTATGGTGCCTGCACTGAGGCCTCTTGTCACTCGAGCCACGGGCATCGGGCAGCAGCCCAGTCTCGAGCTGCTGGCACCCAGCCACCGGCGTGAGGCCCGGGCCCGCCGCTGCCGCCAGCAACGCAGCAGAGCCCTGCGCCGCCACCTTGAGCATGCCCCTGCTCCCGCTGCCAGCCGGGCCGACCCGCCTTGGAGCTGGCAGGCTCCCTCGAGTGAGGACAGCTCTGCGGAGGAGGATGCTTTTCACGCCTTCTTTGGCCCTCCCTCGGCCGCTGCCCTGAGCGTCATCAGCAGCACGGATGACTGGCTGAGCACAGCAGCCGAGCAGGCAGCACGCCTGGCAGCAGAGGCTGTGGCAGCGGATGGCCTGGGTGGAGCGGGAGGGCCTTCGCCGCATGGGCTGCGCCAGGCGGGGACACGCATGGCGGCGGCGCTCCAGGCCATCGGCTGCCACGTGGAAGTGACCGCACTCCTTCTCGGCCGCCGCTGCGGCCTGCTGCTGCTGGATGCTGCGGGGCACGACGTGGCGGCCAAGCTGGAGGCTGTGCAGGTGGCGGCAGCAGGTGGGGGCATGGCCGAACGCCACGTGCAGCCAACGGCCTGCGCTTTGCCGCTACAAAGTCGCTGAGTGCTCTACCACGTGCTCCTGCCTGCCTCCTGCCATGACCACCCTGCCCAGCCCACCAGCCCCTGCCCCACACTCCCCTGCAGCCATCCCCGAGGACGCCTCAGACCCTCTGGTGCGTCACCACCGCAGCGCCGTGGAGCTGCTGTGCTGCGCCCTGGCCTGGCCCTCGGTGCTGCTGCTGAGCCAGGGCGAGTTCAGAGATGGGCTGGGCCTGCTGCTGCAGCTGCTGGCGGCGGGGCGCACGCCAGCTGGCCGCCCCGGCAGCAGCGTGCGGGAGGTGCTGCTTGGCGTGAAGGGGGAGCAGGTGGAGCTGATGCTGGGGCTGGCAGGCGGCGACGGGGCGGCAGCAGCGTTCCTGGCGCTGCAGCAGGAGCTGGGGTGGAGCCCGCGGCTGGCGGCCAGGGTGCTGCTGGGCTGCTCGCCTGCCCAGGCGGCCTGCCAGCTGCTGGACAACCACAGCAGCAGCGGCCTGGATGGGCACCCAGCGGTACACCTGCTGCTGGCTGATGGGTTGCTGGACGCGGGTCAGCCTGGGGAGGGAGGCGTGGCGGGTAGCCGCCTGCCCAGCGGCAGCCAGCTGCTCCAAGCCTGGGCTGGCGCCAGCGAGGGCAGCTCGCCCCCGGAGTGTGCCGTCGAGCCATGCGAGGGAGTGCAGCCAGCGTCGCTGCTGGCAGAGGCAGCACCGCGGCACATCCGTGAGGTGGCGGCATGGCTGCGGTGAGGGCCAGGGTGGCCACCACTCAGCCAATGGCGGCCTGTCCCCAGGCTGGCCACCAATTCGCCCACCGTTCAAAGTCCCACCAAATGTTGTGCATGCTGCGCCTCGCAGGTCTCTGGGCATGGACCGCGGCCAGGTGGCGGCGCTGACCTGCATCTGCCGGACAGACTGGGCCGCCAGGGGCGCTGCGCAGGTGCAGGTGGATGCGGCGCGGTGGGCGGCGCGAGAGGCGCTGCCTGCTGACCTGGCTGCCATGCTGTGGCTGCTGGGCACCAGGGCTGACCGCAGGGCTGCCAGGCAGGCCATGCAGAGAAGCAGACGCTGAGCAGCAGCTGGCACTAACCGCGCCAACCCCCGCCTGGCAGCAATTTGCGTTTGAATGGCAATGCGAGGCATGAAATATGAAACGAAATGAAAAACAATGCAACAATGCTCGCGGTGCAAAGTCGTGCACCACCGCTCAGCAGCGCTCAGCCATTGCCTGGGTCAGCCAGGACAAGCCATCGTAGAGGCCCTCCCCAGAGGAGCCACAACAAGCCCCCACATGCCTGCACGCATCCTGGTCAGCTGTTGAGCTGTGGGCGCATGCTATTTTATTGCTTGCCACAAAACTTGCAGATTGCTTCACCCACTGTAACGTACAGTGTGGGGCAAGCTGGCAAGCGCCCTTGGCCAGCTGGAAAGGCATGCTGGGGCGGATGCGTACCAGCTGGTGGCAGCACACCATCGCGGCACCCACTCACCAGCGGCGTCCGCGGAACCAGGCCAGCCCCAGCCTGTCTATCACCTCCTCTGTGCCCATGGCCCGCTTCTGGTCCTGCTTGTTGGCCCACACCAGCAGCGGCGTCCTCCTCTGCGTATACCCCTGCACAAAGTCCGCCAGGGGCAAAGCATGGGGCCATGGCCAGGCTTGGTGCAGCGAGGCAGCACGAGCCAGTGGCAGGCCCCGTGCGCCGCTGCGAGGTGTGTGCCAGCCCACCAGCCGCCGACCCGGTGAGTTGCGGCAGTGCGCCAGGCAGGCAGGCAGCAGACCTTGAGCATGATCGTGTGCAGCATGATGCGGGATGCGTCCAGGTGGCTGCTGCCCCTTCCACCCAGCACGAACACCAGGCCCGCAGCGGTTCGACCATAGCGAGCCAGTTGCTGCTGCTGCTGCTGCACTGGTCAAAAGCAGGCCCAGGAGGCAGGCAGGCAGGAAATGGATGAATGGGTGGGAGGCGTGCAGCCGAGTGCCCAAGCGCTGGCACGGCGGGGTGCGGCGCGTGGCTTAGCGCGGGGCAGGGCTGGGCAAGGAGGGAGGAAAGCATAGAAAGTTGCAGCAGCTCTGTTTGTGCTGCTGCCTCTGCCCAGCCTGGCCCGCCAGCTCACCTCAGGGCTGCCATCCAAGTCCAGGCTGACAATGGTTGCGGTGCCCTTGCACTTGAGCATCTCGACATTGCTGCCTGCAGAGCGGCAGCGCAGCCTGCCTTGGGCTGTACAGGGCAAAGCGAGGAACACACAGAATGGCCTGATCTGCCACCAACAAGATGTGCCATCCTGGATCAAGCACCTGCGCTTTCCAGCTTGTCAGACAGGCGCAGCTTGCGCAGGATGGTGGACTTGCCGGCACCCCGCAACCCCACCTGCACATGCCAGCGCCAGCGCCAGCGCAGCAAGAGCGGGTGTCGGGGCAATGCTTGGGTGATGGCATAATGCGGCCAGCAGCACAGCACCCTACCATCAGAACCTGGGCTGCTTCTTTGCGTAGTGGCAGCCTGCGTGGGCAAGGGCCAATGGGAGGGCCAGGAGGTATTGTAGGAGGTATGGCATTACTTTGCCGAGCGCCTGCGCAGCCGTGGAGCAAGCCGCACACACGCATTCGCCGTCCATTGGGCGCTGGCTCCCATGCACCCCAACTGGCAGCCACACCTGCCAAAGACCTGTGCCATGTCAGCAACCACCGTCAGGTGGGCAGGCGCCCGGCTGCGCAGCTCCTTCCGCAGCTTCTGGGGGGTGGCGGTGGATAGCAGGCGCAGCAGGCGCAGGCTGGGCAGCACCAGCGCGGTTTCCACGTCGTGCTGAGTCAGCGCCAGCTGGGCGCAGTAATCCAGCACCAGGGTGCGCAGCCCAGTGGCCCGCGACAGATCGTGTGGCAGGCTGCGCAGCGTGGAGGCGGTGAGGTCGATATGCTGCAGGCCTGGGGGTGCAGGAGAGGCAGCACAGGGCGCGGGCATGGTATGCGGCAGCCGCCCCGGCGGTACTGGCTGTCACGCGCGCCTGCCAAGCCACGGCCTTGTGTGTCGCCACCCAGCGGGCTGGCACAGGCAGGGACCAACCTGACACAAAGCTGCCAGGAGGGAGCGCATCCAGCGCGCAGCGCCGCAGCACCAGCCGGCTCAGCCGCTGGGCGCCCTCCAGGCAGGCGGCGCTGACGATGCCGCCCTCGGCATGCAGGCTGCTCAGCCCAGGCGCCAGCCGTACCAGGGCCTGTACCGCCAGGCCCACGCCGTGGGTGGAGGGGCCGGCGTGGTCCAGCCCCGCCTGAGCTGCTCTCCACCCGGAGCAGCGGCGCAGGCGCAGGGAGCGCAGCTGCGAGAGGCGGCCGCACTTTGTTGGGATGGCCTCCATCCGCAGGTCACACTCCTCCAAGTGCAGCCCCAGCAGCGGCCTGCCGTGCGACAGCAGCGCAGACAGCAGCGCGCCCAGGTGCACCCAGCGCTGCCCGCCACCCCCCGGGGCCCCCGCCTGCGCCCAGCCGCTCAGCGCCAGCGTCCCCGCTGGCCGCTCGCCTGCCTCCTCGCCCCGATAGCTGCAGCCGTCGAGCCAGCTGTCGCCGAGCTGCACACAGAGGCGTGGAACAGCTTGCAACGCACAGGCACACGCACAGTCGGCTGCTCACCAGGCCAAAGCAGTCGGCAGCCCAGCGGCATGCCCAGGGGTGGCTCGGGAGGCAAGGCAACCGGCGGCACGTGTTCAGGGCAGGCACACACCTGCAGCCCTCTGGTGAGGCTGCACCTCCCCAGCCGCCACTCCTGCAGGCCGGCCAGGGCCGTCAGCTCTCCCAGCTGCAGCGGGCGGCGGCCGGCGGGCAGCGCCACATCCTTGCCAGCGCCCAAGACGTCGAGCTCCAGGCGGCGCAGGTGGCGCGCCAGCGGCGCCAGCTGCCCCAGCGCGCCGGCCGGGTGCTGGCCCGCTTTCAGCTGCAGCGCCGTCAGCGCGGGCAGCGCCGCGATGCCGGACCACGCCTCTGGCGGCAGCTCGGCCACCGCCCAGCAGCAGAGGTGGCGCAGGGTGGTGAGGAGGCCTAGCGTGGAGGCCAGGGCGACGGAGAGCGGCGCCCCTAGGACCAGCTCCAGGCTGGTGAGCGCCGGCAGCGCCGCCGCCGCCTCCAGCAGGTCGTCGGGCGCCTGCTGGGAGCAGCAGCGCAGCAGGCGCAGCGCCGCCAGCTGGCGCAGCACGTCCGACGTGCAGGCTGGCAGGCGGTAGGTGGACAGGTCCAGGCGGGTGAGGTGGCGGTGGAAGCGGCGCAGCGCGCACACCGCCGCCTCGGGCTGGCTGGCGTGCTGGCGGTAGTTGAGGGTGACCCCCGTCACCACGCTGGGATGCAGCGCTTCCAGCAGCTGCGCCTGGTGGCGGCTGGCCGACCGGTCCTGGTGGGTGCTGCGCAGCTCGGCGTCGGCCACCAGGTGCCCCACGCGGCGCAGCAGGCGGGCCTTGCAGGCCAGCCAGGCGCCCTCGGGGGCCTGGGGGCTGGGGTCCAGCAGGATGGAGCGCCACACGTCGGGAGAGGCATAGTACACCCGGCGCCAGCGACGGCATACGAGCGTCACCTCGGGCCTGCAGGCATGGCGCTCTGGGTGATAGTCGATCTTTGCTCCTGGCCATTGTCACGATGTGGGCCAACTCGGCCCTCGTCTCCCACAGGCAGAGGAGGCGACGGCAGGCGGCGGCCGGACTTGCGGCGGGGACCGGTGTGGCGTCGCTTGGAAGCACCGCACGCACCCCGCATCGCTTGCCAACGTCAGTATCGAAGACATCAGGTGATCTGGCAGCAACTTCTCAACGAAGCAGTCGGCGGGGGTCTCGCAGGCGGACTCGCTCTGCTTAATGGGTCTCTGGGCTCCGCACAGCGCGTTGCCCATCCCTCAAAGTGCTGTCAGAAGGGGCCCTATGATCGGCAGGCCTCTTTGGGGTTCTAAATTAAGGCAGCACCCGTGCTGAGCTGGCGCCGCAACGGAGTGCGCACCGCGGGGGGACCAATGGTGGGCGGCACATTTTCAACCAAGCGGCCCAGATGCATCATGCAATCAAGCAGGCATGGTTCGGTGTCGGGTCAGCCCCGTCCCCAGGCCCCCCGTCTGCTGCAGCCAGTCTCGGTACCGCCGCAGGTCCTTGTCCTCTGGGGCCACCTCCCGCCACCTGCCCCGGCAAAACATGTGGTAGGCGTCGGCCGCGTACTTTCCAATGCCATACAGCTCGGTGGGGTCCCGCCACTGCACAGGGGGCGACAGGGTGTGTGTTTGTGTGTGCACGCTTGGGCGCGTGCACACGTGTGCGTCTGTGGGTGCTCAAACGAGCAATACCGGCAGGGGAAGGCTGTCACACACGCCAGCTCCTACTTCCCATACATCCACGCCGGCAGGCACCTGGCTAGCAGGCAGCGCAGGGCGAGGAACACACCGCCCGGCAGCGACACAGCACAACAGGCATGGGCAGCAAGCGGTACAGCGGTACGTACCTGCTTGTACAGGTAGTCCTGCGACAGCTGCTGGATGGCTGCCGCCCGCTTGCGGAACAGGCCCAGCGGCTGGATCAGAGCCTGCACCTGCTGCACGTCGGCGGCGATGGCGGCGGCGGGGGTGGGGCACAGCGCAAACAGCTGCCAGATGACCTTGCGGACCTGCGGGGCAGAGGGGCAGAGGCACAGGTCAGGCGGGGACGGAACTCCTGCTCGGGCAGACAGCCAGGCGCTGCCATGCGAGGCCGCACCCGGCCCCATGCTGCCGGCCAATCGTGGCGCCAGTGGCACTGGCACGGTGTCGTTGATGGTGTCCATGCCTGCCTGTGCACCTCCCCCCGCGTGTAGTGCTGTTAGCTGCCGCCACCACCGCACCTGCGCGCCGCTGGTCTTGTTGAGCAACATGCACGCCACCAGCAGCTTCCAGGGGTCATCAAACAACTCCTCCTCTGCAGTACAGCAGCGGTACAAAATGACCATAGGCAATACCATGAAGGAGTTGGGGAAGTTCAACACCGCAGATATGCCCGCCTCCGCACCCAGCCTGCCTCCGCGCCCACCCAGCCTCAAGCCACTCGGGCACCCCCGAGCGAGCGACCTGGCAGGCCATCCATGCCACCACACCCACCCAGCAGGCCGAATGGTGAGACTGGCGGCTCCCACAGGCACAGCCTCGGATCTGCCTCCTGCTCCCCTGCTGCCGCCGCTGCTGGAGCTGCCGTGGCCGCGCCGGGGCTGTGCACGGCCAAGCCTGCTGTACCCTTGTGCCGCTTGCCTGCGGCAGGCAGGGCCAGCGGGCTGTGCATGCCGCCGCCCTGCGACGCCTGCCGCTCCTGGCGCCGCAGCTGCAGCAGGGCGCAGGGCATACCGGCGTGAGGCGGTGCCAGCAAGCAGCTGCGCACAATGCTGGGTCACGGCAAGCGCGAATGGCAGGCCAACTGGGGGCCAGGTCCTAGAGCAGACCTAGCCCCGCCCCAGCCCAGCCCAGCCCAGCCTCACCTGCATGTTTTCTTCCAGCTTTGCGAGGAAGGCGGCGCTTGGGGGGCTGCCGCCACCGCCACCGCCCGCAGAGCGCTCCAGCGCCGCCGCCGCCGCGCGCTTGCGGGGGCTCACCAGATCAACGTCCATGAGTGTGCTGCCGCCGTTAGCCTCCTCCTCGCTGCCGGCACTGCCTGCAGGCTTGGCCACAGCTGCTGCTGCAGGCAGGTGGTGGTGGTGGTGGTGGTGATGGTGGTGCGGAGGGGGAGGCTGCTGCTGCTGGTGGGGCTGCTGGTGGTGGGGCTGGGAAGGTGGCGCCACCCTTCGAAACTTGGAGGGGCGCTGCTGCTGCTGCTGCTGCTCTGCCGCCGGGCGCTTTGCCAGCGGCGGCGCCTGCTCAGCTGCCCCCGCTGCTTTGTGCCCAGCAGCGGCATGGGGCTGCGCCTGCTGCTCCCCCTGTGCGCACCGATGGCGCTTGGCGGGGCGGCGGGAAGAAGGCGACGGCTCGGAAGAGGCGCCGCGCTTGCTCGCTGCTGCCGCCACGACTTGCTGTTGCTGCTCCAGGTCGCCGACCAGCTGTGGGTCGGAGCTTTTAAAGAACTTGGCTGGCCGAGAAGCGGCGGCGGTCCCGGCTGCTGCCCGCTTCAGGTGCAGCTGGCCGGCAGGGGCCCCAGCGGCTGCCGCGCCAGCTGCCGTGGAGTCGGTGTCTCCATCGGCGGCAGCCTGCGGAGGCGGAGCAGAGCTGCCAGAGGCTGTGTGGAGGCTCTGCAGCTGCCGGCGCAGCGTGTGCAGCAGCGGCTCTGGCGCGGCCCCGCTGCCCTGCCCCGCCGCCGCCGCCTTTCGGCGCCGCTTCCCTTTGGTGCCACGCGCTTCCGCGGCGCCCGACGTTCGCGCCTCAACGGGCAGCGCTGGGTCCGCTGCCACGTGCTGCTGTTGCTGCTGGCCCGTGCCACCGGGCGAGACTCTGGGGCGGAAGTCAGGGTTGCGGCAGCGCCGGCAGCCCCCCCTGGAGTACCGGCAGCGGCTGCAGCCTAGCTGGCGCTGGCTCTCCAGGATGGCCGCTGCCACGACTCCCAGGGCGGCGGCTGGCGGCAGGCTGGTGGGCGGCCCTGCCGGCCCCACGCCGCCAGGCTGCATGAAGCTGCCAGCTTCACCGACGCCTCATGACCTGGTGTTTACGGCCTGTATCCCTCCAGCACAACTATGCTGCAGGCGGACCGACGCCAGCGAGGCCAGAGTGATCAATGGCCTCAAAGTGTGCCCCTGGCCTCAGCTTGCCCTGCCACAACTTCGAAATGGAGCCCGACGAACAGGACTGAAGGGCAGCCAGGGCTGTCAGAAGTGAGAAACTGCCCAGCTGGCGTCCTGCTGGCAGACGCACACCCGACAGCAGAGCCGCTCAAGCCAAACGACGAGGTCATCAGAGCGCCGGCAGCCAGCTGGCTCAGCTGCGAGCGCCACAGGGCTCCTGCCCCGCACACCCATCAGTGCAGAGTTTTGGGCTGTTCCTTCTTTCAGCACCACCCGCCAGTAGCCCTCCGGCTCTGCATCGCGACCCAGAGCGACTCTCATTTTCGCGCTCCGCGATCAGCTCCCCATTCAGGCCCCCCTGTGGGCCAGCAACGCCCGCTAGGGCGCTAGAATGCAGGGGCAGGGGATGATGGCGCCAGGCCAGCCGGTGCAGGGCAGGGCGGTGAGTGACGCCACTGGCGGTGGCGGCGACGGCGGCAGCTCACTCGCTGCTAGCCCCCCGTATGTTTGTCCATAACCAGCATGTTTTGATCTGCGTGCTCCCACCATCATGCGCCCTCCCGTCTGCTGCCACTGCAGAGCCCCGCGCCGGCAGGAAAGATGCAGGTCTCGCAAGCGGCTGCCCCAGCCAGCGGCAGGGGCTTCTCCCAAGCCCAGCTGCTGGTGCTGCGCCAGCAGATTGTGGTGTTCAAAGCCTTGAAGCAGAAGCAGAAGCCGGAACCGGCAGCCCTGGCGCAGATCAAGCCGCCGCCGCTGCTGCCCGCGGGGACGCTGGTGCCCGTGCCGCCGCCAAAGCCGCCGCCCGCGGCGCCCCGGCCACAGCAGCCTTCACAGTTCCGCCCGCCGGCACCAGGCATGCTGCCGCCAGGGGTAGCAGCAGGAGCGCCCGGCATGCTGCCGATGAGCGCCCCCATGGTGCGACCTGCGGGCACAATGCCAGCTGGCATGACGCCAGCCACCCTGGCCGCTGCGCAGCAGGCGCAAGCGGCGCAGCAGCAGGCGCAGCAGCAGGCGCAACTGGCGCAGCAGCAGCGCGCGGTGGCGCAGCAGCAGGCGCAGCAGCAGGCGCAACTGGCGCAGCAGCAGCGCGCGGCAGCGCAGCAGCAGGCGGTGCAGCAGGCAACTCAGCAGCAGCCAGCGCAGCAGCAGCAGGCCAGCAGGGCTCCCCGGCCGCAGTCGGCTCGGCACAGCGGGCAGGGTCCTGTGTACACGTTGGCGGCGGCGCCCAAGGGCGGAGTCTTCACCGCCCCAGCCCCTCAGGTCGGCCGCCCCGCCCGCCCGCTGCCCCGCCTGCTGCCTCACGCTTGGTCCCACTCCAGCAAGCTCCCGCCAGGCGGGCCGTGCCGCCGGGCTGCACCTGAGCGGCTGCTGGTCTTTGGGCATGTCCAATTGTTGCTTCTTCCTCCCTGCGGCACCAGCTCTTGGCAGCGCATTGGCTGGCGACCCCAGCCTGGCCCGCTGCCGCCTTCTCCCCTTGTGCCCCCGCAGAGCGGCTTCCTGCGGCCGCAGCAGCTGCGGTACGATGTGGCGCCGCTGCTGCAGTACGAGTACAACCGCATGGTGGCCAGGAAGGAAGCGGAGCGGCAGGCGCAGGTGGATGCCACGCTCAAGGGACCGGGCCAGCAGCAGGCGGGCACAGGCTTCCGGTACAGTTCGCACCAGGTGGGGGGTGGAGGTATACGGTGGGTGGGTGGACGGGCAGAGGGTTTGCATGGGCGTGTGGGTGTGGGTGTGAGCGGGGGCCTGGTTCCCCTTGCGTTTGGCAGCGCGGTAGGCTGGCAGGCAGGCTGCGCCTCGTGCTGCTTTGGGAGCAGGGCTGGCCGCCACGCACGGCAGGTGGCAGCCCCTGCCCTCCTTTGTCCTCACCGCTAGTCTCGCCTCTGCCTGTGCCGCCGCCGGCTGGCCCCCAGCAGATGCCCATCGGGAGCGCGACGCTGGAGAAGCTGCGCCTCAGGCTGCAGGCCAAGCAGCTGGAGGTGCGGCGGGCGGTGCAGGCGGAGCAGGAGGAGATCATGCAGGTGAGGCTGGGGTGG